CGGATTAACGTGATCCACGACCTGATCCGCCTAGAAATCACCTTGCCGATGGGATCCAGATGGTTGTCCCACTTTCACGTTCTTTGTTCGTTTCTTCTGGAGGGAATCAGGCTATGAATCTAGGCAAGAATCTGGCTATGGATTCCCCTCGTTAGTTTTCTAGTTTTTTTTTTAATGTTTTGTTCCATTTTGCCTAGTTCATTCAAGACTTTGTTTGACTGCTCAATTAATAGCTAATATGAATAAAATGGCCTACTTTTTTGGTATTTGGACGAATAGTTTATTAGATTTAGTGGAACAAGTGACATAATCCTTGTTCGATTTGGATCTGGGTTAGTTTAGAACTTTAGCCTATAAATGGTTCTTATTTTTAGTTGTAATAGGAAGATTTAATAATTAAGATTGAATGTTTTCTCTTGCTTCCTTTGGAAATATTCTTGAATTTATTTTGAGTGTGTCTCGGCGTTTTCAATTTGACTTATCAATCAAAGACCGTGCTTGATTGTTGCGTCTTCTACCTTGTACCAATATTCTTTAATTATTTTTTCGCGTCGGGTTGAGATAATATCAAGGTTTGTGTATTACTGTTCTTGTCGGGTCAAGGTTTCTGTAACTTTAAATTTATCCATAAAATGATTCTGTGGCTTATCTAGATATTGAATTTTGCCATTCTTGATGAGATTCGTATCGCATTATTTTCAAAATATTTGTTAATAACGCATAATACAAGAGTGTTTTTGAATTTTATAAACATGAATTATACCAAGCTAAGGAATCCTTAATCTAGTGATTAAAATCCACATCCTAAAACTTAAAGATCTTGAATTTGAAATCTCCTTTTCCCTTTTGATTCTTGAATCTTACTCCTCCTTTGAAGAAAAAAAAATTAACAAAAAGTATGAAGATAACACGAGGTTTTACTAGCTATGATCAAAAGAAGCTTGAGAAGCAGACATCATACATTTTTCCATCTTTTGCGTAAATGGAGGCACAAGAAAACGATGCACTATAAACGAACTATGTTATCGCCCTTAAATGAAAGAAAAGCTAGTGAGGGCTTGTGGATATCGTTAAGGGTAAGCCCTTTAACAAATGCGTTAGTGAAAGCAATTCTAACAGTAAAGCTAAAAAGTTTTTTTTTTCTGGTATCAAACAAAAGTAAATAATTAGAAATTGGAAAAAAAATGAATCATTAGCTGCATTTGGTTTCCGTCTTTAATTTTGCAAATGTTACTAACAGTTAATTCCTTCTTTGGCCAAAACATTACTTTCCTGAACCGTAGAGCTTTATTTACTTTTTTCTTCCTATTGATTGGAGGGCGGGGGGGTAGGGGTGGGGGAGGAGATGGGGAGGAGGGGCGTTGAATGGGGACTCTGTACATGCTGGGATGTTTCTCATTAAAAGCATATTCATTTAATACATGAAGATATGCTCAAGCTACAGGCGCGTAAAGATTTTATAACGATGGAACGCGGATTGATGCTTGTAACTGTGCTTTCTCAAAAGGAGAAACTTAATACCTGAAGGCGTTAGTACATCAGGCTTAAAGTCATCTAAAGCATCGTAATTTACAGAGATATTCAATTACAGCAATGGTGGGTCATGTTTCATGTATTTTATTATTACTTAAGAAGCAATAAAGCACAAGAGTGACATCTAATTAATTTGTCCTTTTATTTTTTTTATGCATTACAAGACAGAGGAATCAATTCAAGCATGTCTAGGCAAAGAGGGTAAATTATATATAACTCCTCTGTCATTTCATCTATTACCACAGTCTCTGTTTGGATTTAAGAGTTTTCGAAATACTTGTTTTTCATCTACAAATCTATGGTAACACACTTCAAAAATACAATCAAAAAATATTCTTGTATTTCAAATAAAAAATAAAAAATAAAAAAAATATAAATATATCCTATCATGTTTTCTTCTTCCTCCAATCACCACCACCGTCTACCACTCCTCCTCCCTCCTCCACCATCACTATTACCTCCACCGATGAAGGAGAAAGAGAGGAAAAAAGGAGGAAGGGGAGAGAGAAAGGAGGGAAGAGGAGGGAGGAGGAGATGCAGATGGATGGCGGTATAAATTTTTCAAAAAATATATTTTAAATTATAAAAATATCCCAAAATACACCCCAAATATCTCCAAAAACGCCATCAAAAATAGGAGAGGGGAAGAGAGAGGAAAAGGGAGGTGAGAAGGGGTGGTGGTGGGTGGTGCTAAGGTTTTATGCAATTTTAAAAATTCATCATTAAAATTTTAAATCTTAAAATATCCCAAATATATTTTTAAAAATACCCCAAAAACACCATTAAAAACATTTACAGTAAAAATTTTCACATATATTGTTTTAGTAAAATATTTCAAAAACACTCCTAAAAACAGCTAATCCAAACTGAGTCTTAATGTTTTAAAATATTCACTTCACTCTGCTATAGTTTCATGTAAAATGGAAATTTATTGCAAAATGGCTCATGTAACATTGTCAGTTAAAATACTTTTGGTGCCCTTACTTAAATGTTGAATCGAACAACTATCTAACTACTTTGCATAAAATCATAGGGGGAATATGTGGATAAATATAAAAAATATAGGGGTAAAGTGGATATTCATGCAAACCATAGGGGAGCTAAGTAGATATTATGATTCTATCATATGCACTTTTGGAACGCGTTGGTATAATTGCTATGACCGATGGTGTATTCCGTCTGTTTTTTCACTTTACATACCACAAGGGTTTATTTAACTAGTTTAAAACTGTAAGGGGTCATCTGGCATTATGTAAAATTACAAGAGGTTATGTGTATCAACTCCAAGTTCCACAATTACCAAAAATATGGTATATCTTTAAACCAAGGCAAGCCTTCAGGTAGAAATATCATAGTAATACTGAAAATCAAATTTGGATTCTTTTCTTGGGTATTATACAGTGCTTCATTTGATTGAAGATGAATAGCTAATGAGATTGAATAATTGCTTGTGTTATCTTTCTACTTCTAATGCCTTGTCCTTTCATTGGTACTAACATAAAGCTGATGCATGGAAAGTACTAGACTTGAGCTTTCCTATTGATTCGAAGCCATAATTGTTAGGTTTATGAGTAAAGAATTATGTCTCATATTGGTTCGAGAGATAAAGAAAGAGTAGTTAATATGTAAGTAAGGGTCTGAGATCTAATAGTTTAAACTTTTGGATTAGAGTTGGATTCCTGACTTATATATTGGGCTCTTTAGTGAGCTCTGTCGAGTTGCATCTCTCTATCAACTTGGTATCAGAGTTTCGAATTGCGAGACTAGATTACTCATGGGCAAGTGGATTCTTTTCGGAGAGAGTCTACCAAAGAGCTTAATATATATATTGAGAATCTAATTTTGACTGAAAAACTTAACCCATTAAGCCTCAGACCCTTACTTTATATATTAATCGTTCTTTCTCTATCTCTCGAACTAATGTGGGATATAACCTTTTTACTCATGAACCTAATAAATTTTCCCCTTCATGAGTAACCCCACATTAAATCTAAATTTACAAGCCTTTTTTTGAGTCCACTTTAATACTCGACTGAAACTCACCTTATCACCTAAAGTCACCTGTTCTCCCAAACATGGACCCACTCTTCGTCAACATTCAAACTACATTCTGGACCTCTACTAACCCTTGGCTCCTTGATCTAACACCAACCGGACCCCTTGCCAAACTTATGGCGCACCTGGTCCAATACTAACCAAATTCCTTGGCACTTCTGTCTACCATCAAGAAGAGAATTTTCATCAGTCCAATTCCGAGAAGAATCCACTTGCCTATGAGTAGTCCAGTCTCGTAACCTAAAACTCTGATGCCAATTTGACAAGGGAAAACACCTTGAGAGAATCCATCAAAGAACCTAATATGTAAGTTAGGAACCGAACTTTGACCCAAAAAATTAAGTCATTAGGCCTCAGACCCTTACATATATTAACTGTTCTTTCTCTATCTCTCGGACTAATGTGATACATAATCCTTTTACTCATGAACCTTGCAATAATAACTAGACCTGAGCTTTCCTATTTCTCTGTGTTGTTCAAGGACTCTTCCACTTCTAACAGGTTAGTTTGTTATAAAAACAACTTATCCTACGCCATGATCTTTGACAATCCCAAATAACGGGGAGAAGTATTTGCCTTTTAAGAACATTGGTTTTCCTGTCCAACGACTATTATTTGGTTTTTATACTTCTTTGTTGCCTTACAAATATTGACTATGAATATGACTGCATTCATCAACAAATAGTGGTAAGTACTAAACAAAGATTGTGATGTATTATTACACCAGTATTCATCACAAGAAGAAGAAATTATAGCGTGTGACAAAAAAGTTCTCAATTTTAGCAACTTCAATATTGTTGGTTTAAAAATGACCCTCGGTGGATTGGGCATTATAGTGTTAACATTCGATTATGAATTCATAGAAAAAGAAATTGTTTTCATGACTGTAATAAGTGGATTTGTCATATCTTTGACATAATATTAATTCATACATCGCAGTTTGGCATAATTGAAAATAATTTACTTAAAAATATAAATGTGTTCCTTCAAAATTTGTCATAAAAGGACAGATGGATGAGCATAGAGGACTGATACAACCGTTATTTGTCCAAAATTACTATATTATTAATTATTGGAGAAATCAATTTCTAAGTCATACTAGTGTATAAACATAGGCTTCACGTTTTAATTTTGTACCAAAATTTTAGGCTATTGTTTTAGATTGTATATTGAAATTGTGTGCAAGATGCTAATACACTTGCAACCTGCAACCTCTAAATTATTTGCTAAATCAATTAAAGAAAAATAAATAAAAAAAAGAGTGCAATACCGTATATAAACAAGATTATGCAATACAATATTTATACAATAAGATAAAAGACAAAGCAAATTATAAACTTAGAAGTTACAAACAAAAGTGCAAAAAGAAAATAAAAAGAAATAGGAAAGCAGGGCTACTAAGAGAGGAATATTTACATCTTCTTCCCCCATAGCTGGCAATATTTCCATCCCTCATTTGTCAAAAACGCAATTTCAACTTCAGGAATGCGTGCAATTTTTCCATAATGTTCACTATCTTCATTCAGATTATTTAGCTTCTCCATCAGTTGATAACTCAACCCAAGCAAAGCCAGCTTTTGAAGATGGCCCAAGTGTTGAATATCAACTGGTAACTCCTCTAGCAATGGAAGTCTATCCAGACCCAGTTCGTGGAGATTGGGTAATGCATCCTCCTCCACTTTCAGCCATTTTAACTTTTCTAATTTCTGGAGGTGCAAATCCTTTAACTTCAGGAATCCTCCAGCCTTGAAACACAACCCCTCTCCTTGGTAAGATCCACAAAAATGAATAGTAACCAAATTTGGCAAATAGTGGAGGGGTTCAAGCGGATCCTCCTCATCCCTTAAACCGCTCCACTTCAAATATATTCTTACCAAGCTTTGAAGATGTGCTATCCATTTCGCCATCTTTTCTAAGGGGCCATGCAATACTAGCATACGAAGAGATTGGAGAAATGAAGAAGACACTGAAGATGAACGAGACTGTTGTTGTACAAGATTCAGATCCATTACCTCATAATCACCACCATCATTTCTAATTGAAGCAATGTTTAGTAGCTGAAGACTAGTGAGGGTGGCAAGGGAGGAGCAGAGCACCTTTCCATCTTCTCTTCTCAGATTTGAAATCCCTAATCATTTTAATTGAGTCAATGTTCCTGATAGGGTGTTAATTGTTGGTTATTTTATTGTTAATTTTCCCCTTTATCCTTGCCAAATATTGTTTTAATTATTAATATTTACTTATATTTGGTATTGGACTCAATTTCAGGGAATGGAGCAGAAAACTACAAAAATGATGGACTTTTTGGAGATAATGGAGATTTCAAACAACCGGACTCACATGGTGCTACAAAGAGATTGCATTTCCTTTGCTGATTAGGAGATTGGAGTCCTACAAGTAATAGGCAACAAAACAAGAAGGAAAGCCTCGGTTGGTGCAGGAAGTTTTGGGAGGACTTTTGCTCTCAATTGTGCGGGGACCACGGAGAAAAGAAAGGCATTAGTCTATTATTTAGAAAGAAACGTACAGAGGCTAGGAGTCCTACTATCAATAGGAAACAAGAAGGAATTCGAAGGGTCCCATCTTTTGGATTCTTTTCTCTTCTTATTAGGTTAGAAGACTAGTCACGGGGGAGAGATGGAAGGAGAGGCTGAATAGCCGCAGGACTGAGTTTTTTACTTTCGACAGTATCATGTTGGGAATTCCCTCAACAATGAAGAACTGAATTCTTATTTTCTAGTCAAGGGGACAATTGACGATTTGGTTCGACAATTACTGTGAGATCGAATCTGTTTTAATTATTTTCTTCATTTATTGGTATTTATATGTTCCTTGATTTTAATTGCTATGGCCTTGTGTATGATTGATTAGTGCGCAATAATTAATTATTCATATAGGCTATTTTTGCTAAATAAGGGTAATTGAATCCGTAATTGTTCGTTATCTCTACCTCAGTAGCAACTGGCGTAATTGGGTTTATACCAGGGGAGCATATAATCTATCTTAAACAAACCCTCGTAGCGTGTTTGTTGGTTAGGATTGGGCCTTTTTAATTATTAATGCAATCTAGGAATTAAATCCTACGGTCGTACCTAGGGTTATTTTTGGGTTAGAGAAATAGCTAACGGTCGTACCTTAGCTATCGAGAAATTAAGGAAGGGTTGGTTGTTTATCGCGTGCATGACAGCTATAACTAATCTATTACTAAATGTTGGAATTATTTCTGCATCAATGATCAGTGCATGAACCATTTCTTAAGTGTACCATTGGCTAGAGCTTCTCTTAATTATTTCTTTGAATTAATTACTTCCTGCATTTAATTTGTTTAATTGGCATTTAATCTCAAAACCCTCTATACTTTGAACTCTAGAAGAAACGAATTATCCCCAATCCCTGTGGATTCGACCCTGTTTATCACTATCTACAGAAATTATATTTTATTTAAGCAGGTATTTATTATTGCACAGGTTTGACGCCCTGTCAGTTCCTATCTCTTTAACTGTTACGGATCCGCTGCTGGCATCTATAGTATCTAGTGTTTGTAGGGCAGAAAGCCCTCCCAATTTTGATGGAGATTTAATCCCATGAAATCCATAACTTTCACGCGAAAAATCAACATTTTCGTATACTATAAGATGCTCAAGCTTTTGTAGCTTCAGGATTTCCATGGGTAATTCCTTGACTTGAGTTTCACCCAAATCCAAATACTCCAAATTTCAAAGCTTTCCTATGAATTTTGGGACTGCTTTAACTCCTGTCCTATATAGGTTCAGATACCCGAGATGATACAAGCATGGTTCGCCATATCGGCCGATACCGATACGTATCGGCCGAGTCGTATCTGGAACGGAAGGGGCCGGTACGATACCGATCCCCGAATCACGGATATCACCATATCCGCGACGACTCGCTCTGACTCGGCCGATATTGACCGATTCGAATCGGTGATACATGATATCGGTCCATATATCCGAGTCAACTCGGAGTCGACTCCGATATTTTTTTAAATTGTGTCTTTTTCACTATTTTCTAATTTTAGTAATTTTTTCAAAATTTTTGGAAATTTTAATGTGTTATAATGTTCATATCATCCGATATTCAACCGATATGCCGCGACGGATGTGAAACAACTGAGACCGCGATGCGACCGCGACCCGCGATGGCGAACCATGGATACAAGTTGAAAATCTCATTTGGGATTTCCTCCAGTGTCTCTTCATCACTCAAATCCAAAACCTTTAACAATCTGCTACTCTTTAAAGCTTTAGATAACAAGGCTCTGGATACTAGTGGATTCATGCATTCAATTGTAATAAAGGATCAAAGGTGGTTAAGGCAATAATATTGGCTTTCTTGGTGCTGCTCGGTGTTGTTGCTGCTGCTATGGACTACCAAACGGCGTACCTTCTCAGATGACCACCTTGTGCACTGTCCAGATGTAATTGTGATCATATATTGTTCCCTTGACTTGGAAAGAACAACTTCTCGCACTAGGTCATGGATTCGACATGTGTAAGGGATTCCTTCATAAAAACTTTTAGTCACTTGAATTAGACTCCTATTGACAAGTTCTCTGAGGTAATTGAAGCCTACATCTGTCATTGTCATTCCTTCTGTCTTTCCTACAAATCCTTCAGCTGACCATAATTGAACAAGTCTATGACAACGTATTTCAAAATCCTCTGGGTAAATGCTTAAATACAACAAACAGGTCTTAAGATGGCAAGGTAGATCAATGTAACTGAGAGAAAGTATCTTTCTGACCCTGTCCAGCATACCAGCGCCTTCCAATTCACCCACTAGGCTGCGTCGAACCATCTCCCATTCCTCTGCAATAGTCAAGTCTTTCAAAACCAAAAGCCCACTGATTGCAACAATCGCAAGGGGCAATCCCTGACATTTCCCCAATATACCTTTGGCAACATCTGTTAGATGGGCAGGACAACCATTTCCTTTGAAGATCTTGTTGCAAAATAGGGTCCATGAATCCTCGAAAGACAGGGGAACCATTCTGAAGACATAATCCTGAGATTGGGTGCAAGATGCAAAGGCTACATCGGCTTTTCGTGTTGTTAACATGACACGATTGCCATAGCCATTCTTGGGTAGTGTAATTCTGATTGCATTCCAAAATTCCGTATCCCATACATCATCAAACACAATTGCATACCTTCCAGCTTGTTGAAGAAAATCTTTAACAAATTGTTTCAGCTGAATTGCAGTCATTGCCTCAATCGATTCTGGAACTGGTTTCTTCAATTCATTGTGTAACTGCCGAGCCAAGTCTTTGTGGAGTTCTTGGAAGTTGCATGTTTGAGAGACAGTTACGAAGGCACGAACTGGGAAATGCCTTCTAACATCTAAATCTTCATGGACTTTTTTAACTAATGTAGTTTTACCGAGACCTCCCATGCCAACCACTGAAACAACTTTGAGCTGGGAATCATCGCCCTCGAATAGTTGAGAAATCAGCTGTTGTTTGGGGTTATCAATGCCAACTAGTTCAGCTTCTTCCACGAGAAGTGCATCATCCCTGCTATAGCGCCATGTTGTGTTGTTAACAGCAGCAAGAGACTCGGCCGCTTGGATAGTAACACCGAACTCTGATTGGTATCTCCGATGCCCTTCAGAAATATTCTTTACTCTGGCCTTGATGCTTTGTAGTTGCTCAGCAACATTATGACGAGCTCGCAATGTCTTTATGGAGTTGAAAATTGTCCGAACAGAGCCATGGAAGCCTGTTGCTGGATGGCGAGCAAAGAGAGCCATGAATTCATCAAGAACATCTTCAATGTCATAAGCGGCTTCTCGTACTTGCTTGATCCATTCTTGGAGCCTGGGATCTGCACCTTCTTCCTTTGTTTCTGCCACTCTCAGGAATGCTCTCATGTGCCCCAACTCATCCCCGATGAATTCAACCTCATGTCCCTCTTCACGCAGGAGAATTGAGAGCTGATTTAACACAGAAGACAGAATTGTTAGTGCCATTTTCAGTCTTTCTCTTTAGCATAAAGAATGTTAAGAAAGGGAAGAAAGAAGAGTTGGTTCTAGGTTCTCAAGCTTATGAATTTTGATATATGGTTCAGTACCATTTATCAACAAATCAAAGCCGTGTTCAGATCAGTGAATAGAAATTGATGTGGGGCTGAACTCGCAAGTCTTTGATTCTCCCAAGACTTTCCACTTTCCATACATATTCACGTGTGAATCCGTCCTTTTGCGCATTTACTTGTGCAAGGATAGCTAATTTGTGGGACACTTATGTTACACGTCATTGTGATGACTCTAGAAGAATATTTAATTTTTTTTTATTGTTCCTTATACATGCTCTACAATTACTTATTTATCTTAAATACATTACATTACAAAACATGCCACAAGATGGAGGCTAGTATGCATTGAAGTTCCAGGTAAAAACCTTTTGCAGCAAATTCAAGGGAGTAAAAGAGTGGATGTGTGGCTTGCTACCTGATAAATGATATCCATGAATTGAGTACTATGTTTTACAAATGCTTCTTTTGTCTAGGAAAATCGAATAGGAATGATTTTAGTTGGTTATTTAGTGCTTAAGCATTGAGTCATTATCCTGATGTAGACTGGGTTAATCCCAACCTACTGTGCTAAATGCCCATTGTAAAGTATCGAGCAATTGCTTGCTTGCTTCTATATAGTTTTAATCAATCAATACAATCCTATCGTTTCGATCAAAACAAAAAAGAATAATACAAAAGTTTTTCTAAGTAATATTCTATCCATGCAATCCCAACAAAAAAAAAAAGAATTCTTGTATTGGCTTTTGTTGAATATATTTTGAGTGATAGGCTAAGAAAGCAGTAGTTCAATAGATTGAGGCTTCATTTGGATTAGTTGTTTTTGGAGGTATTTTTGAAAAATTTTATTATAACAGTGTATATGACAAATTTTTACTATAAATATTTTTTGAAATATTTGATATTATCGTATGAATGAGATGTTTTTTGAATTATTTTTATTTATGTATTACTGTAGCATTCTATTTGAAAATTTATTTTTAAAAAAATGGCCAATTCAAATGGACCATGAGTTATTATCATTTTTCAGGTTCCTATATCAAAGCAGTTGCTTCTGTTAAATATTTGAAATTTACCGGCGAAACGAGTTGCTGGTCATAACTTGGATGAACAGGGATAAAATGCGAGGAAATATGGTACTCAGAAGAAAGAAATTGCCGGGAAAATGAAGCCATAATCGTCCAAAAGGGAAGAAAAGACTGCCGACAAATGAGAAGAAGCCAAACAATGACTTGATTTCGCAACCCAACAGAAAATTGAAAAAAAGCTAAAGGATGGAAATTTAAAAGAAGAAGCCAAACAGTGACTTGATTTTGAAAGACGAAGCTGCCTTACCGACAAATGAAGCTAAAAATGTAAAATGAGGAAATTATCAGGAAGACTTTTTTAGTCAGTGGGGTCTTCACTCTTCAGAAATGACTTGATTTCGCCATCGTCGAACGGATAAAGGAGCAGCTATTGCACCATCTAGCAAAAGTAAATAAACAAAGGGAAGATTGTTTATATTTATATGCCTTGTGTGTGTGTGTGTGTGTCAATGTGCATTTTTTTAAACTACTGCAATTTTGGGTTAATATTTGCCATGAGGGTTTGCAATGATAAATGACGCCAACTAAAGCAAGTTAAAAGTTACTTACGATATCTTGTCATTTTTTTTTACTTTGTTTTTTTAGGGGTACACATTAATAATTTAATATTGTTGGCCATTATTTTCTAAATATATAGAGTCTAAGCAGTTTTTAGTCTTACCAATATTGATAAGTTGATAAGCAACCAAAAACTAGAAAAATTACCTTGAGAAAAATAAGAAAAACTGGAAGGGGATAGTATTTTAGGGATTATCAAGAATGGCATTGTCAAGAAAAAACAGGAAAAGTGTAAAAAAAGAAAAGAAAAAAGAGCACTAGTACAAATAGGTTTCGGACGAAAAAAGTTTAGTGGGTCAATCCATACGAAAAAGATATGACAGTAAAATCCTGAATTATTCTAACATTATCATTGTATCATTATCCTAAACTTTAAGAATTTTGATTTGAAAAAATCGTTAAAAATGCCCCTCACATTTTATAAAATGACTTTTTTCATCTCTCACTTTTAAAAGTATAATTTTTCATCCCTTACAAATTTACATTGGTCAAATTTTGTCCCTACCTAAGTTTCCGACTAATTTTTGATCGAAATCTATTACGTGCCTTGCACATGATCATTTTTTAAGAACAAAATTGTCAAATCAAATTTTATATAATCCAATTCATAGTCCTTCACATTTCACAAAATAGATTTTTTTGTCCTTAATATTTTACAAAATGAATTATTTTGTCTCTTACATTTCACAAAATGAATTTTTTCATCTCTCATATTTTTCAAAATAGATCTTTTCATCTCTCATTGATCATGTGTACGAATAACTTTTTTTTTTCTTTAAACCCATGTATATATCCATTTGATTTCACTTGAGTAGTACAAATAGTATATAATATATCTCTATTTGATTTCATCTAAACAGACTAATAGTAATTGTACACATGCTATTCAATAAATATATATAAGGGTTTAATACTAATAATTTTGTTTTAAACCCATGTATATATCTATATGATTTCATCATGTGAACCTATTCAATATTAATGACTTTTCTCTTTTGGTAATAATTTATTTATTGAGTGTATAATAAAGCCATCTAATTAATAGGTCATAACTCGAATTCTATAGTGGTGCTAACAAATTGCAGTTTAAATATGAAATTTCTACTCGTCACTTTTAAGATCAACATTTGAATTACTTACCTTTTGATTATCTTAAAATTTGAAAGTGCCAATCACTTCTTTTTGTCATACTTTTCCTTTGTTTAGTTTTTCTATCCAAATTTAATTCAATATAAATACTCGATAATATTTAGGATTAAATGTCTTCTTTGTTTTCAATTTTCAAGTAAAAAGAAATGAACATGAGTGAAAAACTAACAATTTTTTTAAATCCATGTATATATCTATTTGATTTTAACTGAATAGTACGAATAGCATGTAATATATCTCAGGCGAAATCAAACAAAGATATATTATAAATTAAATAAAGATATATTACATGCTATTCGTGCTGCTCAAGTGAAATTAAATAGATATATACATAGGTTTAAAAAAAAACTATTCACACACATGATCAACTAGGGATGAAAAAATCCATTTTGAAAAATGTGAAGGATGAAAAAATTCATTTTGTGAAATGTAAGGGATGAAAAACTTTATTTTGCGAAATGTGAGGGACTATGAATCAAATTATGTAAAATTTGATTTGACAATTTTGTCCTTAAAAAATGATCACATGCCAAAAAACTAGTCAAAAACCTTGGTAGGGACCAAATTTGATTAATGTGAATTTGTAAAGGACATAAAATTATACTTTTAAAACTAATGGACGAAAAAAGTCATTTTGCAAAATATGAGGAATATTTGGACCTTGGAATTTTTTTTCTAGAAGTTTATACTCTCTCTTTTGTACTTTTTTGCTTATAGTGATATTATGTTCCTTCTTCATCCATTATCCACCATAGTGGTTCCTCAGAAGAAAGAACCTGCAGGAAAATGAAGTATTGATTGTCAAGAAGGAAAGAACACCCTAAAGCAAAAGGATAGAAAGTAAAAAAGAAGAAGCCAGACAACGACTTGATTTTGAAAGACGAAGGTCTGCAAAATTGCAAATGAAGCTAAAATGCAAATTCGTGGAAACCATTAGAAAGATTTTGCTGTCCGTGGGTTCTTCACCCTTCAGGGCCGTTCATATGATTTACTTTTGCAGTTACTTTTGCAAGACTTTTGCACCCTCTTGCAAAAGTAAATAAACGATGAAGGAAAGAGTGTAGTATATATATGCCTTTTTTTTTTCTGTGTGTGTGTGTGTTTTAACTACTGTAATTTGTGTAATTTTGTGTTATGTACCACGAAGATTTACAATTTTAAATCAGGCCAACTAAAGAATTGAAACTCACAACTGATAAGTTACTTGCGATTTGATTTTTATTTTTTCTTCTAACCGGTATCATCCTATTTTAGTTGGGAGGTCCTATTTTAATGGAGAGGAAACCAGCTGAGTTATATATGAGATTAGAGAGAAAGATCATCTACACTAACGAGGTGCATTGAGATGCCCTTTGAATTTTTTTAATTGTAGGGTACAATTTTTGGGCCCCGATCATATAACTCAAAAAGGGATTTGAAATCGGTTCTGATGTCCAACTTGTCTTTCATGAGTTGATTCAGTTACTTATGAATCAAGGGGAAATAGATTGCATTTTTAAAGAACAAAACTTAGGAAACTGCAACCTCTGGACTAAAACGAATAATGAACAATGCTGCAATTGAATGTTTTTATGCTATACGGATCCCTATACTTGTGAAAAATCTGAGAAAATATTGCTGCCTTCAAATTACTTATGAAAGTGAAATACCAAGATTATAGGCGTTGTAAGTTTGAAATGCAATCGTCACTCAAATCATTGATTTCATTCTAACTATTCAATTAACCTGCCAACCTAATGTCATTATTTTATCCTTAACCAAAATTATTGCATATTTCACCCCCTTGCGTGATAGATATTCATGCAGTTTTTAAAAATTTGAAGTGTTACAGGGTGAGATAGATGAAGAGTAAAAGTCTGTGGTAGGTAGGATCGCTGCATCATCCTTGGAACGAAGCTGGAAACCCGAGGACGAAGATTAAATTGATTAACAATATAAGGTTACTAATGGTACAGAAATCACATCAAACTGATTTCGAAATTCTTGAGGAAGCTGCCCTGAACTTACAATACTAGAAGCCAATCAAGTACAAAAAATACACTGGAAAATGAAAATGGAGAAATGCAACTGGAAGATTAAACAAATTGCAAAACTTAATTGATTAGGAATCATTTATATTTTATGTTGAGTTGAAAACCGACAA